AACAGGATAGGGTGCTGGACCCTACATGGCTGACTGCGTGGTTCAAGTTACAGACCCAGTAGCTTGAAAATCACACTGGGCGAAAAACATAAGGAAATAGGAAGATAAACAAACATGTTCATTGATTGGGAGAGTCAGCACATCTTAAAGAACTAATTCTCCTCTATTTATAGATTTAGCACAATCCTAATTATAATCACAGTAAGCTTTTATTCGTATAGAAATTAAAATGGCTGGGTGCGGTGGCACGTGCCTATAACGCAGCTACCCAGGAGGCTGAGGCAGGAGGATCACTTGAGTCCAGGAGTTCGGGGGTATAGTGCCCTCGGCCGATCGGGTGTCTGCACTAAGTTCAGCACCAATATGGTGACCTCCCAGGAGCAGGGGACCACCAGGTTGTCTAAGGAGGGGTGAACCAGACCAGGTAGAAATGGAGCAGGTCAAAATTCCCACGCTGATCAGAAATTAAGATGATTTTAAATTTTAATATAAAGACAAAAGATTTAAGATCGAATAGTTTTAAATAAAAGAGCAAAGCCCGAAGAAACTGGCTGATTTCAAGACTTACTATAAAGCTACAATCATCAATGGCCAACCAAACAGGATAGGGTGCTGGACCCTACATGGCTGACTGCGTGGTTCAAGTTACAGACCCAGTAGCTTGAAAATCACACTGGGCATGTGTGCCCAAAATCCCAAAAGGAGACTAGTGGAGAAGGGAGTGAGGTGAAACCATCCCCCTGAGAGGTGAGTTTTCACATTCTCTGTCTCTCTATAGCACACACTCCCTACAGAGTTAAAAAAACAAAAACAAAAACAAAGTAATCAAGTCTTGAGTCCAGGATAAAAACCATATATATACAATGTATTTTTACAAAAGCATGGAAGAAATTCAATGGAGAAAGGAAAGACGGCACAAAACGTGGTGTTGGAAACCCATACCTCATACCATACACAAATAATAATTAGAATATACTTGGAAAAAACAAAAACTATAACATTTTCAGAAAAAAAATACAGGAGTTATTTTAATAATATATAGGCAGGCAAATATTTCTTAACAGAAAGGAAATAAAACATACTATCTACAAAAGAAAAACTTGATAAAATTCCAGCAAAACTGGGCCAGCCAGGTGGTGTGGTGGTAAAGGTGGCTGGATCTCACAGAGCTGAGTGCACAGCTCGAGTCTTGGACCCGACAGTTTGTAAAATATGCCAGGTATGTGTGCATGCATGCCCAAAATCTTGGGAGAAGAACAGAGAAGGGACTTCAGCATGGCCATCCCCCATGGGGTATTTCTCACTCTCAGTCTGACTCTGGAGAGCACATGTAGCCCTATAGCAAAAAGGAAAAAGAAAAAAAAAAAAAAAGGTTCCAGCAAAATTAAAAATATCCTGTTTATCAAGAGATGCCACTAAGAAAGCAGACAACCCAAAGCATGGGAGGAAATATGTGCAAAACATTTATTCAAAAAAAGGACTTGAATTCAGACGCAAAGATGCTAAACTCAAAGAAAGAGCTTAAATGTTAAAACTCTCAGGAAAAACTAGATAAACTGGACATTACCAAAATTAAAAATTCAGGTGTCTTAAAGGACACTATCAAGAAAGAAAAAGAGAATAAACAGCCCAGAAATAAATCCACACATTAACAGTTGACTGACTTTCCAAAAGATGTCAAGAAACACTTAATGGGAAAGGGACAGTCTCTGGGTATGTACATGCAGAAGGAATCAGACCCTTGTCTCACATCGTCCTCAAGAGTCATTACATTAACAATTACTGAAGCTGGATGGCTCACAGGAAATTACTGTGCTCTTCTGTTTATTTTGTGTAACTCTGAAATTAGCTGTAAAAAATTTCCTTTTTTACACCTTTTACCATATAGTTGAGCAAAAACAATAAAGATACATTTTATTTTTCCACCAGAAAAACCAGTTTCCATTTGAAGAAAAAAGAAACTTAGATGCAAATAGTAAGCCAGTTAGGCTTCTTTTGGTTATTTTTGGCAAGCAGAAAGGTTTTAGATAGGCTACTTAACACCTTATGTAGCTGACCCTCGGACAATGTCAGGGGAGTCAGAGGCATAGACTGACCTTCTGCATAGTCAAAAAAGCATGTATCCCTTTTTTTTTCTTTTTTTTTTTAGAGGTTTTTGGTATAGAGCACGTGCACTCGCCAGACAGAGAGAGACAGAGAGACAGAAAATGAGAAATCATCCCCGGGAGGATGGCCACGCCACAATCCCTTCTCCTCCATTCTCCTCTCAAGATCTTGGGCACGCACGCACATGCGCCCAGCATGAGTTTTAAGTCACCAGGTCCAGGACGTGAACCGCAGTCAACTACATGGGAGTCCAGCGACATATCCATTACGCCAACTGTTGGTCCCAGCATGTATACCTCTTGACTCCCCTAAAACTTAATTACTAATGGCCTATTGTCGACTGGAAACCTTAAACAATAATCAAACAAACTACATATTTTATATGTTATATGCACTGGGTCATTGAAAAAGTCATGACGTATTTTTTTGTTTTTCTATGCAAAAGGGCATCATGACTTTTCTGACGACCCAGTATTATATAATATATAATTATAATAAACTAAGCTAGAGAAAAGAAAATGTTAGCAAGAAAATCTACATAAGAAAGAGTACATTTACAGTAGTATACTGTATTTTCTAATGTCTTTAATCAAAAGAGATCTGTATATAAGTTGAACTGTGTAGTTTAAACCTGGATTGTCCAAGGGTCAAATGTACTTTCCTAATCGCAAATTCCTAACTTCAAAGGAACAAGATAAACCATCTGGTCACCTGCTTGCGTAACAATTCTTCCTGCTTTCGCCTCTCTTCCTCTTCTCTCCTTCTCTCCTCTAGTCTTCTAAGAGCTTCTTCTTGCTGCTGTCTTTCTTCCTCTTCTCGCTGTCGTCTTAACGCAATTTCCTGCTCTCTCTGGCGTCGCAGAGCCTCTTCCTAAAAAATAAAAGGGAGGGTGGTATGAAACTCTGGGTCTATCAATCAATATATAACATCATAATTTGAAAAAGAATAGATGATGTGTTGCTAAGTCTGCTAACAGTAAATGTAAAAAGTGTATAACTAGGATTTAGAACAAAAACATTTGAGTTGGGAAAGTAGGCACGTTAAAAATAAAAACAGGGCCAGCTCCATCACAGAGCTGTAAAGCACTGTCCAAAAGAAGCTGGATCCACATGAAGACAAAAGTTCAAACTGCCAGCCCAGTCAGCGTGAAAACCACACCATGATCAGCATTCAGTGTAATGGTTATGTCGCTGGACTCCAACGTAGTCGACTGAGGTTCAAGTCTTGGACCCCAGTGGTTTAAAACCCATGCTGGCAGCGTGTGCATGCCCAAAATCCCAAGAGAAGGGATTATGGTGTGGCCCTCCCCCCTGGGAGGGGGTGATTTTTCACTTTCTGTCTCTCTATCTATATCTATGGTGAGTGCACATGCCCTATAGCAAAAATCTCTCTAAAAAAGAAAAATATACCAGAGTTCCAGCAGCTCAGACAGCAGGAGGAGCGGTAGGGTTTATCCGCTCAACTCTGCAAAGGCTCTAGGTGTGCCGCGGCCTCATCAGGCACCCAGCACGCACCCTGTCCACAGCCAAGATGCCCGAAAGGAAGGTCAGCTCAGCCAAGGAGGCGGTCAAGGAAGAGCACAAGAGGAGATCAGCCAGGTTCTTGGCTAATCTTGCTCCTGCAACAGTGGAGATGAAGCCAAAAGAGGCGGCAGGGAAGGATAAATCTTCAGACAGAAGAGTGCAAACAAAGGGGAGCAAAAGGCTGAAATGGCCAACCGAGACACTAAAGATTTACCTGCAGGAAATAGAGAAACTGAAAATGAGGAGATATACCTCTGATGAAGCAGGCGAGAAAGAAGTCAAGTCTGATTAATGTCATATACCAAGTCTTATTAGTGGTCCCTGTCTCCTTTCTTGTACGATCCAGAGGAATATTTTTATCAACTATTTTGTGAATGCAAGTTTTTTAGTAGCTCTAGAAACATTGTTTAAGAAGAAGAGAATCCCACTTCATCCCATTTTTTAAGTGTAAATGTGATTTTTAAGAGGTGAAATCATTTACTGGTTGTCTATTTTTCAGTACAACCAGAAAATAGTGGGATATTGACTTATAGGAGGTTTTGACTCTCTTGGATGTCAGCTTAACATTCCACAGGTGGGGGAGGGTGGGTGGGTTTTATATCCTAAATACAAAGCATACTAAATGGCAGTTTGGAGTCACAGTCGTGCATTTAATGTGTCTTGAATATTTTTAATTACTTCCATTATGTTTTTTAGTAGTATTGTTTCCTAAAGAAAACCACTCTTTGATTGTTCCTCTCCCTGTCAGAATTGTGTGTGCTCTGTAACATCTTTGGTGGTGGTAGTTCCAGGCCACAATCCCTTCTCCTCCATTCTCCTCTCAAGATCTTGGGCACGCACGCACATGCGCCCAGCATGAGTTTTAAGTCACCAGGTCCAGGACGTGAACCGCAGTCAACTACATGGGAGTCCAGCGACATATCCATTACGCCAACTGTTGGTCCCAGCATGTATACCTCTTGACTCCCCTAAAACTTAATTACTAATGGCCTATTGTCGACTGGAAACCTTAAACAATAATCAAACAAACTACATATTTTATATGTTATATGCACTGGGTCATTGAAAAAGTCATGACGTATTTTTTTGTTTTTCTATGCAAAAGGGCATCATGACTTTTCTGACGACCCAGTATTATATAATATATAATTATAATAAACTAAGCTAGAGAAAAGAAAATGTTAGCAAGAAAATCTACATAAGAAAGAGTACATTTACAGTAGTATACTGTATTTTCTAATGTCTTTAATCAAAAGAGATCTGTATATAAGTTGAACTGTGTAGTTTAAACCTGGATTGTCCAAGGGTCAAATGTACTTTCCTAATCGCAAATTCCTAACTTCAAAGGAACAAGATAAACCATCTGGTCACCTGCTTGCGTAACAATTCTTCCTGCTTTCGCCTCTCTTCCTCTTCTCTCCTTCTCTCCTCTAGTCTTCTAAGAGCTTCTTCTTGCTGCTGTCTTTCTTCCTCTTCTCGCTGTCGTCTTAACGCAATTTCCTGCTCTCTCTGGCGTCGCAGAGCCTCTTCCTAAAAAATAAAAGGGAGGGTGGTATGAAACTCTGGGTCTATCAATCAATATATAACATCATAATTTGAAAAAGAATAGATGATGTGTTGCTAAGTCTGCTAACAGTAAATGTAAAAAGTGTATAACTAGGATTTAGAACAAAAACATTTGAGTTGGGAAAGTAGGCACGTTAAAAATAAAAACAGGGCCAGCTCCATCACAGAGCTGTAAAGCACTGTCCAAAAGAAGCTGGATCCACATGAAGACAAAAGTTCAAACTGCCAGCCCAGTCAGCGTGAAAACCACACCATGATCAGCATTCAGTGTAATGGTTATGTCGCTGGACTCCAACGTAGTCGACTGAGGTTCAAGTCTTGGACCCCAGTGGTTTAAAACCCATGCTGGCAGCGTGTGCATGCCCAAAATCCCAAGAGAAGGGATTATGGTGTGGCCCTCCCCCCTGGGAGGGGGTGATTTTTCACTTTCTGTCTCTCTATCTATATCTATGGTGAGTGCACATGCCCTATAGCAAAAATCTCTCTAAAAAAGAAAAATATACCAGAGTTCCAGCAGCTCAGACAGCAGGAGGAGCGGTAGGGTTTATCCGCTCAACTCTGCAAAGGCTCTAGGTGTGCCGCGGCCTCATCAGGCACCCAGCACGCACCCTGTCCACAGCCAAGATGCCCGAAAGGAAGGTCAGCTCAGCCAAGGAGGCGGTCAAGGAAGAGCACAAGAGGAGATCAGCCAGGTTCTTGGCTAATCTTGCTCCTGCAACAGTGGAGATGAAGCCAAAAGAGGCGGCAGGGAAGGATAAATCTTCAGACAGAAGAGTGCAAACAAAGGGGAGCAAAAGGCTGAAATGGCCAACCGAGACACTAAAGATTTACCTGCAGGAAATAGAGAAACTGAAAATGAGGAGATATACCTCTGATGAAGCAGGCGAGAAAGAAGTCAAGTCTGATTAATGTCATATACCAAGTCTTATTAGTGGTCCCTGTCTCCTTTCTTGTACGATCCAGAGGAATATTTTTATCAACTATTTTGTGAATGCAAGTTTTTTAGTAGCTCTAGAAACATTGTTTAAGAAGAAGAGAATCCCACTTCATCCCATTTTTTAAGTGTAAATGTGATTTTTAAGAGGTGAAATCATTTACTGGTTGTCTATTTTTCAGTACAACCAGAAAATAGTGGGATATTGACTTATAGGAGGTTTTGACTCTCTTGGATGTCAGCTTAACATTCCACAGGTGGGGGAGGGTGGGTGGTTTTTATATCCTAAATACAAAGCATACTAAATGGCAGTTTGGAGTCACAGTCATGCATTTAATGTGTCTTGAATATTTTTAATTACTTCCATTATGTTTTTTAGTAGTATTGTTTCCTAAAGAAAACCACTCTTTGATTGTTCCTCTCCCTGTCAGAATTGTGTGTGCTCTGTAACATCTTTGGTGGTGGTAGTTCCAGTTTTCCTAATAATTTTGTTAATGTACTGTGAAAAATTGGAAATCTGAAGTATGTAGTGTGTATGATACTAAATTGTGATTTGGTGGGGCTTACATAACAGCTTTCAACATTTGAAGACATGGTTCTTGACATTCTCTTAAAGAAAATTTGCCTACAAATTTGAAGATGGAATAAATAAAAAAAATCACTATACTTGGCTTTTTAAATTTTTGGTACATATGTTAAGAATTGGGTACAAACTGAAATGTCTGTATTGACCCTTGACACAACCAATAAATCTCAATTACCAAAAAAAAAAAAAGCCAAGCACGTTTTAAGTGTTGCAGATTTGACAGGACAGAGGACCAGAGGAAGGAGATCACAGTATGACCAGACCTGCGGAGGGTGCTTCTCTCTCTCACTTTCTCTTTCTCTGTCTCTCTCTCTCTCTCTCTCAAGCTCACTTTCATATGCATGCCATCATCATGAATAAAGAGGAAAATGTCGTTAAAAAAAAAAAAAGTAAAAATAGGGCAGGCTCTATAGCACAGCAGCTAAATGATACACAGAGAAAACCAGATCCATGTCAGCCAGGGTTCAAATCCCAGCCCTGGCAGCTTGCAAAACCATGCCAGGTCTGTATGCAGTGCCAACAATCCTGGCTGCATGAAGACTTGAAAGAAGGCTTATGGCGTCATCACGCCACACTGGGGGTGTTTGCACATGCTTGCTCTCTCTTCTCACGCATGCTCATGTACCCTCTGGCATTACGGAAAAAAACGTTTACAATTTGTATTTAAAACATTAGTAATCAAACTGCAGTATACTATGAATTCTATTCCAGTCTTCTATATTAGCTAGGAAGGGCTACATTAGAAAACTCAGGCTTTGGTTTCTCCATTGTTAGTCCCATTTTTAAAAAATGTACTTCCTTTTTAAAAAATGTTCGTCTTTATTCCTGATATAGCACACGTATATGACAGAGGTGCACCCTCCAAAGGGTCCAGTCACACCACCATTCTGCTCCTCCAGTCTTCCAGAGTCCCTAATTTTAATCAACTGGGAAACAAAAGCACAGAAAGATCATATCAACAGAGCCACCAAAACTTCTCAGTTTAATAGTGGTTATGTCGCTGTGCTCCCATGTAGCTGACCGTGTTTCAAGGTCCAAATCCAGCAGTTAAAACTCATGCCATGCACCCAAAATCCTGAGAGGAGAGTGAAAGAGAAGGGATTGTGGCATAGCCATCACCCCTGGGGGGTGGGTCTCTTACCTTCTGTCTCTCTGACAAGCATATGTGCCCCTTAGCAAAAATCTCTTAGAAAAAAAAAAAAAAAAAACAAGAAATGGAAGTACTGAGTAAAGCCACGTATCCAAGAACATGTTCTGAAGAACAAGTCTCACAGATACTACTAACCACTACACAGAATAGGGTCCTGTTGCCAAAACCATTTAGGGAACACCGAGCAACACAGAATTCAACAGATTTCTTCCTGCAATGTAGTGGCTCCTCTTTATCCAATCTTTATTCGAGATTGCTGATGGATGCTGGAAATTGCAAATCACACTGAACCCTACATATGTTTTTTTCCCTATACATACAGATCTATGATGAAATTTAATCATGGGGCTGGCAGGTGGCGTGGTGGTTAAGGTACTGGACTCGCACAAGGCTGACCACAGTCTGAGCCCCAGACACAATGACCAAAAAAACTCTGGGCATGTGTGCATGTGTGCCCCAAATCCTAGGAGGTAGGGATGATTTCTCACTTTCTTTCTCACTGTTTCTCTCTAGCAAGCACAGGCCCACTATAGCAAAAATCTAAAAAGAAAATCCTAACTTGTAATTTAGGCACATGAGAGATTGATGGTAACTAGTAATGAAGTAATGGTAATGCTATACTCTAATTAAAGTCACATCAACGAGTCCTCTGTCCTCCAAAGATCTCACTGTACTGTACTCACCTATCTTCAGCCCACGGCTGACCATGGACTACTGAAACCACAGGTTACTAGAAATCAAAACTGTGAATAAGGGGGCGTGTCCCTCATTTTAACTTTCTTTATTTAATGTGACCAGAGGAACAGAGCGAGAGACAGAGAGAGAGAGAGAAAGAGAGAGAGAGAGAGAAAGAAAGTATGCCACCAGGTCCAGGACTCAAACTGCAGCCGACCATGTGGGGCAATGTGGGAGTCCAGAGTCCTTAACCACCACACCACCTGCCGGCCCCAACAAATATACTTTTAAAAGGACACCTTAGGTGGGACGGCAGTTGGCATAATGGCTATGTCGCTGGACTCCCATGTAGTCGAACACAGCTCAAGTCCTGGACCAGGTGGCTTAAACTCACACCGGGCACATGTATGTGTGTGCCCAAGATCCCAAGAGGAGAATGGAGGAGAAGGGATTGCGGCGTGGCCATCCCCTCTGGGGGGGGGGGGGTTTTTTTTTTTTTTTTCTTTGTTTTTTTTTGGCTGTGTGCAT